CACCTGGATTTCGGGAAGCTTTCAACACTTTCCCGGAACCTGACGCAAAAAGCTAAGATTTTCAGTATGTAGATCAAGTTTAGAACGCACCTATATTGATCGTGCGAAGTGATGAAACGTGATGAAGCTGGTGCTACATATTCGTCAAGAATTTCACCTTGTTTGTATTCTATAATGATATGTACCTCATCCTTTACAATGCGAGTCGAATTCGTACGAACTATCGATGGATGAAGTAAGACCTGGCTTCGAGGTCCAATAGGCCCAACCAAGTATGCCTAAAACACGGATAAGTGTGGTAAGGATCAAGAGTAAGTCGGTTTTCTTGCTTGTCAAATTATTTAGATAAATTGATTATCATAGAATGAATATCATAAATGCAGATAAACATAAAAGACAGTTACTTCATTTTTTGTAGACTTTATTACTTTCGAAAAATGTAATTATGTATAATAACTTACAGTAGTTTTTGGGAAAGAAGCTATCTTCTGGGCCATTAAAGCCGCATTCCCACCGATGTAATGATGAGGTCGATGACGAGGCTCACTGGCGAACTGTACAAGTGTTTGAAAAATTTTCGGATCTGATACATGTCTAGAATAGTTATGAATTGGAAAGTGTCAATTTCAAGAGATCTCACTGATAATAGTAAAACAAGAGTAATAGCTTGAGCAAATAATTTCGCCAAACTTCGATAAAAAATCACCTTTCGGCAGCAGCCCCTCGCGAGAAGAAGTAAGCGAAAGATTCATACAAATCGTTAACATTGTTGATCACCTAAAAACAACTTCACTTCGGCTAAAAATTTGCTTCTTTTAGATACTACTTCATGTTGGTCAGATGCTCGCCAGTTTCTTTTTTTTTAGCCTCCCAATATGAGCACTACGATTCTAAAAAGAACATTTTATCCATTTAATTTGCAATGCTTCACTTTCACAGGCAATAACAGACAGCGTTGATAAGTTAAGCGATCAAATCAAATATAATATGAAAAAATATGTTAAATATGACAACTTCATGGTCCTTGCGATAAACGGAAGTACCATTTAAGCGTTCTAATAGACTTGTTCCGGTAACAACTACATCAACGTTGCAGTTAATCCTGAAAACTTGAAAAACTTATATGTTAAATGTGATATGATAAATGTGAAAAATTTATGGTAAAAAGAAGGTTAACTAGAATTTCTGAATACAACTACATAGTAAATATGAAGATCATTTTGAATGTATATTATACACACGCTCAAAGTGAAATTAAAGAGTGATCTGTTCAATTCAGAAAAACAAACGTTCGAAACTCAGAATCGTGGTTTTAAAGGACATGAGTCTCTACCAAATCGAGAGAGTGAAAACAAACCCGATCACTACCCGCCGGAAAAGCATCGTCGGTTGAGTAATCACTCTATCCCATGCCAACATTACAGCCTGCTCCACTGAATATGACTGTTTTCGATGTTGTTCGTTAAAATAGCTATACAGCCATGGTACGACAGCAAAAACTAACGACAGATGGAGTATTTGATTGTAAGGTGCATTCCACCACAATATTTTCATTCCCAATCAATCCCTATAAGTATCTCATCTACGAGATCCAAAAAAGGAAAAGAAAAAACACAACACAGATGTAGATAAGAAGAAACAAAGTGAATGGCTTAAATAGCAACCGAAATATTAAAATTCATATTTCACCCCATAGACATCTCATTCCTGTCCAAAGAAATGGTTTACTATACAGGTCATTCACAAAACTTCTGTGATGTGGAACCGTAGAATAACAACTAAGACTGAATTGAAATCACACGGAGATCAAAATGGAAATCATATGTTACAGCGTTAAACTGTGTTATAAACCTGCAAAATATCTTAAAATGTTATTTTTCTCCGAACGGAATTCATCTATCATATTAATTTCAGATTGTAGTTAGTTTCAGCTTACTCAACAAATCCCATTTCCTTTCTCTTCTGGTTACACTGTTACTTTATATTTCATATACAGACTACTCTCAACACTTCAGATGTTATGGAACAGTGGTCGAAACTACAACAAATTCATGATTTCAACATGCAAATACGATAATACAACCCTTTAGCAGAATTGTCAGCGAGTTTCTTATACTTCAATCAATGGTTACAAATCTTCCCAAATGAAAGCTGTTTTCTTATTTTAAATTTATACTATCCTTTACAACAACATTTTCCCAGTCAATTACCTTATTAATTAATTCGAGTCTTACCATATATCATTGAACTAGACTGAATTATAAGGAATACCACACCTGAATCTTTAACACAAAACTAATGCAAGCAAAAAACTCAAAAACCAAGTAAAAAATTTATTATTACAACTATGGAACGATTCAAATCAAAAGCATTAAAATTCTTTGTAACACACGATGGACCGATAAAATTCTACTTCGTAACAGGCGATGGACTGATAACAAAAAAAGTACCAGTAAAAACAAAGCATCTGTTCTTTTGGTTGTCACTAAGTAGAACAGCAGATGATGAAAGGATGCATCGCAAAATATTTTCATAGGTAAGCAAGTAACAAAAACTAAACACCTGAAAAATTAAAATGAAATAAATGCTTTAAGGTAGACAAAAATTATGACAGCATAGATCAAAGCTGCAGCGTTGGAAGAGAGACAGAGGAGTTGATGTAAGGCCCAATGTATTCTACCATTAGAAATTTGTATTCTCATAGGAGGCTTGAAATGTTTCCAGTGATGACGTTCCGAACTCCCTCAAATTTCTAAACTTTATGTACTTTTAAACTCAAGTGGAACACCTCTTCCGTTAACATGTGGCACTCCAAGAAGTCGGAAATATAACCCCGAGGAAATACTGGAAAGAGAAATAAGCATAAAAAATGGTCAAATAAACGCAGAAACACCAAAATCTTCCATCAAAAGGGAATTTGTTAATAACCAAAATCTAAAATTTAAGTGAGATCAGTTCTTCAATCTTGAAATTAACTTCGAGGTACTTCTCATAAATCAGGTTTTTCAAGCACGAACTGTTGTCATACCGTTTAATCGTGCGTAAATAAATCCTTCTTACACCAAAGTTTATTTCTGCAAAAATGTAGCGCAAAGGAATTAAATGAGGCTTTCATGAAGTTTTTAATTGATCTTAAAAAAAGAAAGAAGTTTACCAAAATTTGTCAAAAAAAGTTTGTTGGATCAATAGAAACTCGAATTTTAGTACTTGTTTGGTTCACGAACCTTTTCGAACCTTATTTTTCAAAGCAAACTTTGAGAAATGAACTTCCTTTGCAGCTAATATTCCCAATAAATTTTTGCTGAGTATATTTTGGAAATTTTGCATATTTAGGAATTTTTACTCGCTTCAGCTTCATATTTTTCATCTTATACCTTTTGCCTTATTCTCTTGCCTATCCCTACCAATTTTCCTTTTTTTTTCACTTAGTTTTCACTTGGACCCCATAAAAAATTATTATGGTAAAGGCTTACACAATAGCCTCGGTGACCTGCGTAACGATAATGCGACAAATTGTGCAAATAATGATTCTTAACCATGGATCTGCATAACATAAAATACCAGTACCAACATAAATTTTTAGAATATGGATTTGAAATAAATTACCTTATGATAGTCAACTTTTGAACGACTAATTTTCATTTTTTTGCCTTTGGTTCGGCATTAGACGATATCCCAATATTTGAACTGCGCCGCATGAACAGTTCTCTGGAAGTGTTGTTTTTTCTTTTTTTTTTTAAAAGTGTTATTAAAAGCGAATATCAGAACAGAAAATCTGAACACATTGCTTACCTTGTAACAGTTGACTCGGCATTAGACGATATCCCAACATTTGAACTGCGCCGCATGAATAATTCTCTGGAATTTGATTTTTTTTTTTATTATTGAAAGTGAATATCAGAATAAAAAATCTGAACACATTGGTTTACCTTGTAACAGTTGACTCGGCACTGATGCTGATTCCGGATGATGGGCTTCTGACGCTTGAATCTTTCTTCATAATGGGTTCACGACTAATACGTTCCGTAACTGTCGGCAAAGCTAAATTAAAAGAATAAAGACACAAATATGAGTACGTCGGAATTTTATAATTTTCGAAATGTTAGTAAAGAATAAATAAACATAATGAATGACAAAAATTAAGTGCGAAAATCTCCTCAAAACTTAAAAACTGTGAGGCCTTATGTGCTAGACAACCACGTAAAGGTGCAGTGCTTTAAAGATGGAATCAAACGAGAAAGCAAAATAAATATTCGAAAAAAGTCTTTTCTATCAACTTACAAAAGGTAGAATCCATACGCGGTGAATTTATGTAAGGAGCACTCGGGGAACCGAACGTTGCGAACTGTCCCGAACTTTCTGGGACCTCTTCGCTGTCTATTCATAAAACAAAAGTAAGAATACAAAGTGAGAAAGTAGGAGGAGGAAGTGAAGGAAAAACTCAGTGTCGATTCCCGTAATTCTAAAATACATTGAGGCATTTAATTTGCAGGATATTTCGGTAAATCCGTGTTTTTATTTCACTAAGTTCGCGCATTCTACCAAATATTTAACTAATTTATACTGAAAATTCTACCTAGAGTAAAACGGAAACATATGCAAAATGCCTTTCGCATACTTGAACTAATTTTTCATTTGCTAATTGGCAGAGTTGATGGAAAATTAATAAAACATTCACGACAGAATTCAAAACATGAACGGATCAAATAAAAACGTAAAGAACGAAAATATTGAAAATATCGGACTGATAACGACAAATTCGTACTGCAAAAATCATATTCAAGTCAAAGATCGGGTAAAGCAAACTACCTCCGCCATATTCAGGGTTGAAATCACTCTTCTGCAAATCTGTCGTGCTGGCCACCGTTTTTTCATAGCTTAAAATGACTTTCTCCGCTTCAGCATATTCTATAATGGAAATAAAACCAAAAAAGAAATCAATCAATATATCTATTCATAGAACTTATCTTAAAATAGTAAAATGAATTATTAATTTGTTCAAGATATCGTTTATGTTGACACAAATCTTATGCGTCGTTACTCTCATACATACACAACGATTAAATCATAATAAAAATAAGAAAAAGAAGCTACCATTTGGAGAATTTTCTTCCAAAAGTGAAGCTCGCATCGATTCAATAATTTCAACAGTATTTTCCTGTGAAATGTCGTCCGTAGCTTCCATTTGTGCGTCTGATGAAGAAATGCGCAAATTCATTGACTGCCGTCCGTTATCTTCGTCTTCTGTGATTTTCTGCAATAACCTTAACCATTAAATATTTAAGATGCGTTGCTGCTAATTCGAAACAACAAATATTTTATTATCTTTTCGGATACTGGAAAACTTCTGAATGATAGTACTGAGTTTAATATCTACCTTACTCTTCTTTTCTTTTGCTTTTTTACCACACTTCGTCTTCTTTGACTTCTGAAATTTGAAATTGTCAAAAAATTCCAAATGCAGCTTGCATAAGTCATAAACGAATTAAACCTGTGGGAAAGAATGGTTGTAAAATCACAAACGATTAGCCTATCCTTCTTCGGTCTTCCTGTTGGAGTTTCGCCAGTTATTCTTTTGAGCATCTGCAAAAGTTAGTTTGGTGGAAAACGTTGTCGGAATCATTGTTTTTGAACGGAATGATAACACTGTCAACTCTCAAAAAATTTCGAATAATGCGACGCTGCAGATAAATCAGAAGATATTATTACACATTGGCTCAAGAATGATAAAGCATGCTGTCGATTGTTGAAAATGGATTAATTAAAAGTCTTAAGAAGTCTAGTGAAATAGGGGGTTGGAGGAAATCCTGGTCTGAGTTGCTTAAAGAAATATGTCCAGAAAACATTACTTTTTGTACCGAATACAAAATTACCTACAATTCGTCTGTTCGAATTTATTAACAAAAAAGCTACCGAATGGAAGGGATGAGTTCCTTACATAGCATCGCAGACTTTTTTTTCGCACTCAGCATTTTCAAAATATATCACTAAAAGAACCCTCTGACGAATGATCAGATAGTCCAAGATTATTTGGACATACAGAAATCACGTCTTTGAAAATGGAACAGTATAGTAGCTAAAGCTTGAGGCAACAGCGTATTACAATATTTAATTTCATATTCAGAACCCAAACTTTATCACCTTTCTTGCCAACTCCATTAACAAGTTCAAAGCAAGTGATGAAAACACTCTTGGAACATCAGTATTAACAAACAGTGCTAGGATACAAGCACTATCAACGATTAACATTAATTATTGGTGAGATTTTGCAAAACGATTTAATGTTGGTAAATATCTGCCAATTATCATTTCAGAAGGGATTATGACCTGATTTTCTAGGAGCTTACTTGCAGTTCGTTCTTATCAACTGAAACACGCTGTTCATGTTGCCCATTTGCGCTTCCAAAGAAAACGGACTCCAGACACACAGAGCAGCTAAAAAACCAGAAATTTTTTTAACTGGCTCTCCCTCTTATCCGTCCAACTCTTCTAAAAGGTGTTTCCACTAAGGTATAATTCTGAAACGGAGTGAGAATATAGCCTAACAAACAAGTCAGTTGAAATAGGCTATTTCGTTTTTTCAAGAAAAATACAAGATAAAAAATCAAACATTCCACTTTCTGCAGTTCAAAACTTTGAATTCAAATTTTATGAGCGGAATTAGTAATTTCCAAATAAAACTTCAGCTTCGTCAAATTTAACTTCAACCTCTGTTTTCAATAAAGAAAGCCTACCTTTCAAATTTTGTACTGAAAGTGCCAGCTGATATTTTCGAAATGAAAGTCATATTCCTGAAGCGATATGTAGTTGATGATGACTTGAAACCGGTTGGTTCATAATTATATGGAGTGCCTGAATTTTGTGAACTAAAATGGAAGAAAGAAACTTTATATTATGTCAGTCAGATTTCATATTTTAACAGCTGCGTCAACCAATGCTTGCTCCAAAGTAATACAAAACAAGGTGACAAATTTCCTCGTAAAAGTTAATTTTTATATCAGCAGTGATCCATTCAGCATTCAGCATCCATTCAGCATTGAAACTATCATTATCGAACTCATGCGAGCCATCAGAACGACTTCTAGTCAAGTAAATGAATTAAGATTGAAAACGAGAATATACAAAACTTCTAAACATAAAAGCTAACTGATACTGGGTTTTAAATCAGTAACATCGACGATATTAAAAAATTAAAAATTCAATATCGTAAAATAGACAAACTTGCGTAATAGGTAAGCTTGAAATACGGAAAAGCGCTCTGCGGAACTGGCGATAGTACATTCATAAGAACATCCAACCGATGCAGTAAGGCGATGACTTCCTTACGTAATTCGGTGACACTTTCACATAACAGTGAAATTTCGTGTAATGGACTGCAATCATTATAATAGTTAGAACAACACGAATTTAAAGGAAATTAGCATATGAATACAGCTATAATGTGACAACAAATCAGATATGTCTTTTCTAGAAATCGGTTCCCAAAAAGGAACTTTGTTAATCTTGTTAAGAATTCATGAAATAATTGTCATAAAATAAAAAGCCCAAATTTTCTTTCAGAAAAAACTCCAGAAATGTTTTGAAAGCTTTTTTTTGAACAGCTAATTACTTACGAAGATATTCAATCAGCAATATATTCAATCAGATATCAATATTCAATCAGCAGGGAAGAAGAAATAGCAAAAATCAACAAAAGGATTTCCAAGGCTTACACTCCGCTGATCATCTCGTGGAAGAGCTCCTTGGTTAAACGTTACGAGGAAATTTTCAAAATTATGCAAAAATTAGCTTAGAACAAATTCATTGAGAAAAATATCAATGAAATCAAGGGATGAATTAGTTTAACTTACCTTCGAAGCAGCAATCTACCACCATCAGCGTAAGTAAAAGTAAGAGTATATGCTTCAATCACTTCATCCATGCTATCTGCTTCTTCAGTTGAAACCAAAATAAAGAAATCACGCAACTGAAAATATATCTCATATCAGATATCTCATATCCACTTCTTATTTATGCTAGACTGAATTCAATGGCAGATACAATAGATATAAATGAATCCTAAGTTGGGAATTAGTAAAAATGAGTAAGATTATGACAATGATCAAACTGAGTGGGGTCACTCTGAGAAAATCTCTTAACAAAATACAAATATAACAAATAAGTTGAAAAAGGAATGCTGTGTGCTCTATTTTAGTTTTTAAATTTGTGGAGATATATTACTGATGACTGAGGTTACACACGAGATTTCAAAATGTCCTAGACAACCATAAGATAAGCATTTTAATATTAGCCAACTTACATAATGCTTTTCAATAGCTTCCGAAACGGCATAAAGAAGTGCAGATAATTTCTTTCCAAGCTCTGTATCCTCAGTGACGATGCAACACTTTAAGCCTTCAATAACAATTCAAAACTTTGGTTGTTAAAGAAATCACTTGAAAATGTTGACTTATCACCTCATAATTTAAGGTCTATAGAGTTCATTTTTCAAACAAATTAATTCAAGAATTTGATTATAGCAAACTTTCTATGGAAAAAGCAGATAAGGCAAATCAATTATCACTTGCCATCAATTACGATATCCTTGAAGACTGAGGTTGGAATAAGCAGGCGTTTTTTGATAATATCTGATACGATAATAAAAAGGAATCTCTTCATAAAAAGTGTAGAAGAACGACTATCTAACGATGACGGGAAAAGCTTCATTTCTCTGCCTTTTCGATACTGAAGTAATAGCAGTTAAAGGGATTCTAGAAGGAGTAAGGAGATAAAAATAAAAATAAATATCCCAGAAAAGGTATGATAACAGATGGGAATAATCCTGCCTGGCAATGAAAACGCCTAGAATTTTAGCAGTAATTTACTCTCTCACATGAAGCAAGGAACGGAACAGAGGAGAAACACAACAACCAATGGGAACGAGTCGTCCATCTTTTTTGAGGAGGGGTCAGAGTTGAAGTTGCCTCAACATTTCACCATATGGACATAAGTATGGAAATCAAATATGTGAGCGAACGAACACATCAAGAAACAGGCTAGCAAAAAATGGCATACCGATTTCATCTCGCTCCCATCTTCGCTCATTTTCGAGAAGTTGACGTGTTGATTTGTCTGAATTTCAGATTATTTTCGAGGTCAAATGATTAGAGTATTGCATGCAGTCCAAAATTAAATTGAAAATGAATCTTAGAAGAGAAATTAAAAAAGTGTGAGTGAGGGAAGACACAATAAACACTCCAGCGACTACCATCAATATGTCGTGCCGCGCAACATATTCAAGCAAACGTGTGAAACTGATGTAGTAACGTGACGCGACGAATTATGCGGGACAGGTGCATGGGACTTATACAGCGTCCTTTAAAACCTACAACACTCCAGTGGAATGACCAAACAAATACCTTAAAGTTGGAAGGACCGTGCTGAAACTGTGTACGTGCAAAAAACAAAGTCCTGAAAGGATTATTCCAGAATTTTCCCAATTTTCCCAAGATTAGTATGCTACTTAGTAAGTAAGTGCAGTGCATGAGAACCGAAAAATCATCGTGATATCATGGGAGGACGAGTCCCGCGCGGCATATTAATTTAGGTTAAAACAACAATGGCAAGAATTGAATTCGTGTGACAAGTGAGTCAGTTTACGAACAAGAATTCTATTTTAACGTAGCGGAGTGATCATAAGATTTGTTGATCCGGCATCGATTTCCGTGTTCTCGAGATTGGAGACAAAAATCGTCAGTTTTCTTGTTCTCGTTATAGATAATATAGCCGTCTGAACCAAATATTATTTGATCTGTGAATAATTCCTAGTTATGAAAGTAGCAATAATCTGTTCAAACAAATTCCAATGTTGAACGTAAGACAACATATATAGGTAAGGTTGCGACAATGTTCCTATGATATATATAGGTGTTTTCAGCAACAATACTGAGTGGATAAACATGGGAAGGAATTGAAGAAATAAGGAAGCGAAAGAAGAGAAACGTATAAAACAACAAGCATAAAAGTAAATAGGTAAAAGCATAACTATATAAAAAAAGTTATAAGGTTAGATAATTAGGTGAGATTAGGATTTGGAATTGGATGTAGATTGAGATTATAAGTACAGATCAAATAATCGGTGCGCCATGTTTTTCTTTAATAAGCAACAACATAAACTGTAACCGGATGACCAGATTGATGAACATAGAAAAATGACAGGATTAAACGCATAGTGCGTCTTTACATAGAGAATTCGCAAAGTCTCAAACGTTTCTCATTTACACAGCAGAATATACACCATTGTGTAAATCCGATGCTTTGAATAAAACTCTTTTAACTTCAAAAATTTTTTGGCTATAACCTTGTCAAAGCACAGAGAAAAACAATGAAGATTTATAACATTTCCATCATTTGGAAAGCCTAAGTGTTCCTCTGCATAAGCAAGATAACAGTACCGTAACGGAGTTCACTTCTCGAGCAATTCCTCTTCCATTTATAGTAGCATTTTCGCAGTATCACCTTATAAGCTTCCGTTTCTCACAATTTTTTTTTTCAAATGGATGCATATATTACTATCTGTACCACTTAAGCAACAAATTCAGAGTGTCATTGGAGTCAAACTGTTGAAATGATTTTTTCATTCTTAATGAGTTACAATAAACTACCCGCACCAGAACACCCAGCAACGAAGTGTTTACTTTATCTCAACCAATTATTGGCATATAGCACGGATGACAAATATCATATTACACTTTTTAAACATGTTACTTAGATTTTTATATAATCCTCTATCCTTATCTCCCGAAAATGTCGTCACAATCTTGACACTCAATGACATTTTTTATGTGATACAGAATCGGTTCAAGTCGGTCTTAATTTATGCAGTGAAAAAAAAACTTGCAGAGACTGAATCAAAGTACAAAATAAAATCGGCAGCTTTGTGTTCTTTTGACTTCAGTCGACAAAATATTTTACCTTCCATCATTTTTATTTTCATCTTTTAATTGATTACTATAAATGGTTTATACATAAATATCAGAAAAGCACATTTGCACCAATTGGGTAAGAATCTTATATGACTGGTTATTTGTGGTATTATTTCGAATCATCCGAAACAATATATTCATTAGAACTTCCAACAGAAATGAGCAGGAACTGAAAGATTATCGATGCTATCAAACGCAGCTCTAGTTGTCTGAGAGGCATCCCCATTCTTGGCAAAATAATTCGAAGTAAAACCCAAAATTAATTTAGTAACAGAAAGGCAAATAATTAGAACAACTGGAGATAAAACACTAAATTTTTTACTGTTGAAACTCTCAAATAAGTGGAAACATTTCTGTTGGTGTTGCGTCAATAACCTTTGAACTGCAATTAGCTTCATTCATTATTCCAACGGATATCTTATTTTAATACTGAAAATAATTAAATGCGTAAGATTTTTTCGCACGTAAACTGGTCCTACGCACTCCAATATTAATCCAGAAACGTGGGTTGAAAATAAAGCAAGCGATAGAAGCATGCAACCACCAAATCGAAGGCTTCAAAAGCGCAAGGCTAAGGCTAGGCACAGTGTTTATAGAAGCATTGCAAAAAAGTAAGAATGAATATCCCGAAGGGACAGCACAAAAACCAGTAACAATTTAAAGAAAAAAACCATCACTTCAGTTCCAAAAAATTCACAGAAGAATTTTTCCTTGTTCATTTACGTTCAAAAGTATCCGGAATTACTTGAAATAAACCGTAGTGAATTTGGAAAAGCTTCAAAAAATTCAGGCGAATCAGTCTTAGCTCCAAGAGAAGAAAAATAATACTCTTGACAAAAAAAAATGCTGTGAATTTCTATTTCAATTGAAAAAACAAATTAAACTATGCAAACAGAAAACGTTAAAATATATCCATATAAAAAAAAAATTTCTAGAATCCCTCAGGAATTAGAATAGTTAAAATTTGTTATGAGCAGTTAAAATATTAAGCTTAGATAACATAACGTCAAAAATACCGGTACCACCACGCAATAGTCCACCAACTACTAATCTTGACGATGGAGACATTAAATAATCATCGTCACCTGAAACAGTCGATTTTTACAAATTGAAATTGACTTTCAAAAAGAAAAAAAACATTATTTCCCAAATCTTCTACTTCTCATTTTTTTTTCAGTTATGCGCTAACAAATGCTGAACCGCCCAAGTTACGAATTGAGTAACTTTGTGCGCTCAACATACTGCAATCCTTGGAAGACTAAACATCAAAACTTGCAGAAATTTATTAAAAACATGAATAGGATATCCAAACCATTTATAAGAGCATCACGCATGAATGCAACCGTTGTTTCAAAAGTCATTCGTTGAAGCGGTGAGGTACTTAAACTCATTGCACCACGACTAAACGGTTGAATTCTCCCTGTAAACGTCATATAATCAGCCGCAAGTGTCAAATGTCGCCAATTGATATCGATTCCGTAGGGTGTAAAAACACGGATTATTTCCTAAAATAATGAAGCATTATATCCAAGCTCGTTCTACTTATTGCTAAAATCTTCAGGAAAGTAATCAGTAACAATGAGCAAAATAATGATATCTACACAAGCTAAGAATCAATTAAAAATCCATTTCAGCCATCATCGTTCCGCATACCACCTCATTTTAAATTTACAACTCGTACAACCCTGATACTGTTTTCGTTGAACCTATTATGCCGTATATCGCTTTCCATCATAAAAAATTAAAGAAATTATCTCAGTAAGGTCACCAAAGGTAATGTTTTTGTTCTTTTCCTCTTAGCAGCATCTCAATATGCTACACCATTTTTTACATCCAATCACTCTTCTTGGCTCATAAAATTGAACTTCACAGTGTTAATCTTCCGACAAACCATAAATTTTCCTTCGTCATAACATTTACAAAGTGAGACATATAACTCATACACATCCCATAGGTTGCTTTTATAGTTCCCACTACACGAGGATATCTGGAAGGAACAATTATTCTGCAATTATTCATCGAATAATCATTAGTAAATCTTGCTTTATCCACTAACTTTTACTAAAGCTCGACCACATGCTTCGATACCATAATTAGAACATATCATGTTCAGATCATTAGAATATAATGTATTAACATCAAGCACATCTGAATGTTTCATCAGTGCCTAAAAACTATGTTTAAATGAAATACCAAGCAAAAAAAATAATAAGTCAGTTTGAAAAAATAATAATCAGATAACCAGTTGTATTTCAATGTGTGATTTGTTTCAACAAGCTGACTTAATGACTTTAATTTACTCCATTCTTCTGAAAAAATTAAACTGGAACTGAATTATAACAATACAGTATTTAGCCTATTTCTAACCAGCCCGGAATGGAAAATCTAAAATACTGACAAAATTATAATTTCGCTTATAATAACATTCAACTGATTCAAAACCGATAGAATAGTGAAATTTGCTAGCAATTTTCTAGTTCCTTCTTAATTTGAAGGAATAATTGCAAAAGAATAAGTTGAAAATGAAAATACCAAGCAGGAAATGTCGGAAGTAATTTAAAAATTTACAGACATCATCGTAATACCAGTTCGTAAGAGTGGCCGTAACACAAGTGAAAATGGTCACCTGTACATTGATACCTTGCGTAGCCAAAATTTGGTATCGATCATCACCACGATTTTCACAGCGAATAATACATTTTTCAATACCTGGTGTTTCCCAGACTAGAAAATTTTCCAGTTCTCTTTCAACCAATGCTCCTACATCTAATTTTGTTTTGGTGCTCAACGGTAACTGAAATTAAGTCATTAGATCGAAAAAACCACTCACAAACAATGGCAGCTAATAATCAACTACTCAGTTACAATAAATTTAACTTCGGCATTTGAAAGAGCTTATGACAAGTAGCAAGGTATTTGGGAACACCAATTGCTATCAAAGAACGATGGCTTAGTAAAACATTATCAGCAATGGACCTCAAAGAACAGAAAAGTGATAATCTGGAAAAGAAATGCTCTTAACCTGTTCTTGCAATATATAATATGAAGTAATGTGAAGAATACCTGAAAGATGATAGTACACCATCGATTACTTTTCACATCGAATTTGTAGTCTCTTATCAAAGGTGATGATGCAATAACATTCTGTAAACAAACTAATTATGCAGATCTAACAAAACGACCCAATTTTTTTTAAATGAGAAGTGGAAATCTCAATGGCAAGAAAGCGCAGTTATGCTGAGAGACCGGCATAGATATATTTATAAATATCAGATGAAGGAGCATATTACCTTCTTTACGAAACTCATTCTCGAATAGATTATGAGAAATAAACAGCGATTTTCATCAAAATATTTTCATTATAAAGATAATGCCGAAACATTTTCGATCTTTAAGACTATGGTATAAGAAACTGTATACTAAATTATTAAGATAATACGGCTATGGCATAAGAAATAAGGTATCAAGTTGTTAAGATAATATGCACATAAAAAAACAGATCCGGCATTGTTAACAATAATAAAGCACTGCAAAAACCAAAAAATAAAATTTCAGTTTAATGCTAGGTAAGAGAGCTCATAAATTAAAATATGAAAAATAATACCTGTATACGAGAAGTTTCTGCTTCCTGAGATCTTAATCGTCCAGCATTATAAGAATCATTTACGTCTTCGTCTCGTTCCGCTGTTGTTTCTGTGTTTTCTTCTTCACTTTCGGTTGAAATTTCCATGAAAGTGTCCTGAACATTTTGCACTGCAGTTAGGCAATATATTTCTCACAAACAACTAAAGTAATAAAAGGTTGAAATCCTAAGCTTTAAATTAAAGAGGTATCGAAAGAAATAAGAAAGGGGAAATATCAGGAGAGATTTAAAAAAAAAGACAAAACCTCAACTTTTTGTTGCGGTAGAACAACTCGTTGTTCATCTTCTTCACCTTCGTATTCCGCAGCATCATCTAAGTGGCGCTTCAAAATACGACTTCCTTCAGCATCTAGATCAATCCCTCCGCCAACTTCTTCATCACTACTCAATTCATCATCCTACACAACAAAACCTTCTAAGTATATAAACAGCTATTTTCATCAGTTTCATTAGATGGTTATCATTTTTTTTGTTTATTATCTTTCTTATTGCCTGCCATTTTTATCCGTAATTTCTAAAATCTCGATTTTATGAATTTCACAAATTGTTTGCACTAGAAATTCGGAATACCCACCTCAACAAATTTTCCAAGAATAATTCAAATGAAAATCAATGTTTGAAAAAATTATATGAAGGGCAAATATACTGCTTTGATCATACCCTCCCACTCATTCTCCCGTATTCAACGTCCATCTCAGTTCTTTGGGGAAGTCAGACGTTTTGTGAACTTAGACCATAAAATATTGGAGTGGTTAGATTACTTTTATCTATTTAGTCAACCAAGAACAGCTTGAAGCGATTTAATTTATAGCAATCATTACCTGCTTCTTGGGTTTTGGTGTTTCTTCTCCAATACCAATGGTCAAATTTCGCAACTTCAATTTTCTGAGAAAAAACATTAAATTAAAAACAAAAACACAAATCAGGTACGTACTGCTCTGACAGACATTATTCTTCCAAGAATTAAAGCCAGTGAACCAAAAGAATGCATTACTATTTATAGAATTTAGATAGAAGGCCACAGTAAACGGAACTAACTTATGTTGTAATGCCTGATAATCAGTCATCTCTCTGCATCGGTCAGAAATACGCTTCCCAATTGCTTTTGCAAACCGACATTCTACTTCAGCCAATATACGACGACGCGATATGTGTCGGATACATTTACTTCTTTCTTTCGTTCTTAGTAGTTCAATATGAAGGTCGTAACAGCGCCAGCTTTCTCTGTAAATAGGTTCATCAGTTTTATTAACATACTAATGATTACGCATACAACTGTTCTTAAATAAATGAACTAAATTTATAAAAAGATGTAGGAATTCAGAAATAATTCAACAGAAACTGTATAACAGAACCATCATTTTGCAATAAGACTGTTATTTTTAAAAACTCAACTCACTAAAGTGTTAAGTATTCCAAAACGCTAGAACATGTAGTAATTTTGCACCTTTAAAAACAATATCCCTTCTCCGCAAGCCTTCCTACAACTCAAATGACACATCAAAGAATGTGTTTGCAAAAGACACGAAAATATATGAGAACACAAGTCAAGAGATGTTAATATTAAATAACACACGAAATCGAAAACCTACTTTTCATCAAGATTAACGCGTTCATCAATTGTAAACTTTTTAATTAATTCTTTCAAATAAATCCGACCCAGCTCTCTCTTGATAGCTTCAATGCGTTCCGAAGATGTTCCCGGCTTTATATGAATCTGAAAGGAGAAAGTTCCTGACCAGGATTCAACCGGAACACACTTGCGAAAATTAATTTGTCGACCTATTACGAATTAGATAATTAACTTTAAAGTTCCGAACAAATGATAATCGATTAGTTTACTCTAGTAATGAACAAAGCTCTTTCCACTGTTACGTCACTACGTTGATCTGTGCAGAATGAAAGCTACATTTCAACAACTGAAATTTACCATGCAAAACGGAAACAAACAGTATGGGCGTAAAATTCAAAATGTCATGCACTACGATTCAGACTTAGTTCATTTTACAATCATGTTGTACAGAAAGTAATACGATGATGGATTATGAAAGCATGCTTATCAAAGTGATAAGCAACGAATTTTCCAAATGCCTACATTAAAGAGTCCAAAAGTAAATGGAATTGCGACTCACTTCTGCACTGGGTGTTTTGATGTCATTACTAGCAGTCATCAAAATTTCGCGCAATCGGGGAATACCCAAAGTAACGTTCATTTCACCTCTTCCAGCAAAGTGAAAAGTGTTTAGTGTCATTTGAGTTGAAGGCTCACCAATAGACTGAGCCGCTAACAAACCGACATTTTCACCAGGATCCACCCGACAACGCATTCCTTCAAATAAATTATAATTTCAATCAAAATTTTGGAATAAAAAGGCTAAACAAGTTGTGATCAATGAAACTTGAAACAGTTTACATAAATGAGCAAATCACTTAAAATAAAAATACTCCAAATGTAGATAATAATAATTTCCAGCAACTCATGTCTTTAATATACATTTATAAAAAGACCTTTCCAGTATAAAGATTTGCGAAAAGTGTCAAGCGAGATATCAGCACCAGTAACTGACTTCATGCCTATATATTCATCTATATCGTCAAGAAGTTTTTGTGGCAAAGCACCCAAACAACGATTTGGATTCATCTTCTGCAAAACATAAGAAATAAAGAAGGTACATTTTCCATTTTTTTTTTTTTGATTAATTTGGTTAAAAAAAAAAAGAAACTCACAAAAAACTACAACAGAAAGAAAACAATAATCTACACAAGAAATTAATTAATGACTGAATCGCGTTGTAATAATTTATAAGTAAGGCAATAAAATTCATATTCAAGTCAACCCAAGAAATTCGGAAACGATCAAGTAGTAATAAAGTAAAAATGTGTGGACCGATATCGATAAAGCGCATTTGCAAACAATAGAAAAGAAAATGAACGAGCACCTCATCAACAGCAGCTGGGCAAGCTTTACCAGCCTTGCTATGATACTCATAACGCTCGCCATCAGTTAATTCAAACCACATCTTTTGAATTTTTTCTTTCGGCGTTCCTCGATACTCCTTGGAGAACTCCACATAACCACTCGTATATATTTTTCTTTCGTTCAAGCCGTATTTCCGACGCCATTTTTTGATCTTTAGAAAAACAAATTGTGGATAAACTTTCATCTGATTACCAAAATTAAGTTAAAACAAGTCAACAGAAATTCATCTTCTGTAACACGCCCATATCTTTAATAGAACAATAATTTCAGACATTTTCTCTTATTATCTTAAAAAAATATTATCTTAAAAAATTCCTAACCTCTATTACAAATAACGTTTTAAAAAAAATTTTCAGTGTTCACAGATGGACATCATAAGGGTGCGAAATATGGTCTAACATACTCTATCATTCTTTTATGGAGAGTAGATATTTCCAAAAAACTTGTTTTTGGAAAATTTAAATTCAAATCACTGCAAAAATTTTGAGTCACAAGAATGGCAAAGATGTGCCATTGTCCCTCATTTTTTACTGTCGTGATAGGAAACATACCTTTTTATACGCTTTTTCACACTTCTTCAAATCCCATTGATCTTCGTTATAATCTACCGGCAGTATACACGAACGTAACACTTGCATGTTATCGGCCAGAAAATCGAACTGCTCCGAGTTCATGAATGTGCTTTTACAAACATCCATTCCATCTTCGCCATACCGAAACTATAACACATTACTTATAATTTACTTAATGAAGACCGATGATTGAATGGCTAAAAATAGTGAATTATACGCCTAACATATGATAGCGAAGTACCTGGATAATACTACCATCGTGGTCACGTACAGTCGAATCGTATTGCGCCACTAAGCCTTCCAAATGCTTAACGATACAACGTTGCAGGTAACCAGATCGAGATGTTTTAACAGCCGTATCAATCAAGCCCTGTCATTTCTTGAATTTTATAGGTAATTTGGAAAGATTTGGTAGCGATTACATTTGTGAATTAAAGAAAAAGAGATACTTTGCCAAAAAATTCAAGTCGATGAGAATTTCATGCCCACATTAAACCAAGCTAAAAATTCATTTGTCAAATGAAAACTGAAACTTCATGCTTTGTGAAAAACAACTCGTTCCAAAATCTATCCTAGCATGATGTTCATCTTCCAAATAAATTTATATGACCGAACATCACCCCTAATAATTTAAATGAGCTGATCGGGAAAACACAACATAATAAAAGTTCTTCGTGATTAGCATGCTTGTTGATAAAACTTAGAAAAGACCTCTCGGCCAGCCATGGTATGGAAGAACAGTTCCTGTGGATTAATGCCTGTCAAAAACCGTTGATCGACAAATCCACCAGCACGAGGCGAAGTATCGAAAGAACGAAAAGATGGCAGTGTACGCCCTGCGCTCGTCATCGGTGGTCGATGTCCTTCCAATTCAATCTGACCCAGTTCGCAGCTTATCTATCAATTGTCGTTTTTTTTTTAAATTTAATAACGATTAATTCTATTTATTTTAAACGATGACTCTTGTTAAGAAAAAAATGTCGACAGACAGTACTGCTGAAGTTCTAAGGAATCTCAAACATGTTTCTAAATCTTATCATCCATAGGAACTGATCGCCTCGAAATCACAATCAAGCTACAAAAAATCGTACTAAAATAACGTAAACAAATCGAAATTTCGTTTACATGATTTATTCCAAGCAACTTTTAAATATATATTATTAGACTAAGAAAAGAAGAAAATAATTTGTAAGTATGGCACTAAAATTATGGTGAACTGTAGGAAATACCTGAACCGAATTGACCATTGTACCTTTAGCACCGCAAAGTATCATTAATTGCAATGCATTTTGTGGGAAGAGTTTTATCAATCCTGCCGGCATACAGGCACTGTAATATTCAATTTAAAATTCGAAAAAAATTGGTGGAGGGACATGTAAAATAAAACTTGGAAGGACAAAAAATTGTTTTAAAAAACTGAAAATAAAGAAACAAAAATCATAAAACCGTGCCTATTTATCCTTTCATTGAATCGGTTTAATGTTTCCTTCATCTTGTAATCCAATTGCTGTATATGATTTTGCTCACCTTTCGGATTACAGTATGCACTTGCCATTACATACTTTATTTCCGACTCATCCGCATTTTCATCCAAATTGAAGCATTCTCTAACCACAGTATCACCTGACATTTATTTGTGTCCACAAAATAAAACTCACTGGTTATTGTTCTTTACTGTCGACTCACTTAAACATTCTGATTTAATCGTCTTACTCCACTTTGAACTGCTCTCAGAAATCAGAAGCGGCAGAAAAACTTCTAATCCACAAACACATACCACATTTCCGAAGCGCTTTGATCTCTTTCTTTCTCTGCTTATCTGCTTCCTTCCGGATAAGAATATCTGCCACGCCAAGAGTAAACCCATGATACTATAATTAAATAATAGAAATTACATATTAACTAAAGTATTACACTAGCCTCTGCAAAAAACTATAGAACTAAACAAATATATGTTAGATGATAGTGAAAAATAAGCGGCATTTTTCGAAAAGGCCGATCATAATCATGAACAAGGGAAAACCTGCAAGTGAGTTGTAAAGAGACGCGAGAAACAGCTTAATATTCTTGTCGCATATCGATGACCATAAAGATCCCAACAACAGTGTATTAATCCATACTGTGTACTACCATAGTGCTGCTTATCTAATACGCCTACTAATAATTCGGCTTGTCTATAAATTTGAAGAATTAGAAAAAAAGAATTTTTTTTGAAAAAAACTGTTTTATGGTAAACAGCTAAAAGTGTATAGCAGAGACCTAATCTGATTTGATTTGACTTCAAGAACAAAAGAGAATTCTTGATATTGAAACATTAAATAAATTTATCGCATTTTTTTCGCAACACACATCACTTAAGAAACAGTTAAAAAATCGAACTGTCTCAGATAGTATTTTAAACTAACGTCTATACAGGAACATTCAAATAGACAGTAGCAGCAAAAGCAAACAAAGAGCTATGTCGTATCTTTCGGTAAGTGCCTAACTTCAACAACAAATTTTGGTCCCAACTCGGATGATAGAAACCAAACCTATATTAAGGATTAAACAAGAAATCCCATTGGAAGAAAACACAATAAATAGTGCACCTGAAGATAACTTCTGACTCACTCATACTGAACTTCGGTGCAGGATGATCCTCAACCTTCCAACATGAAAGTGGCGTCTTGGCCTTGCTCCTGATATTCAGAAGTGGTTTATGCAGAGGAATACAATTTCTTAATACTGTGCTGATTATCTGAAACGACTTGGTATTTATATTTGTCTTCCTTCCCAAATTTCAATTGGAAATTTGAAAATCATGAGATCAAATATCTTTCTACGACACCATTCTTCAAATTATCCTACACAGCGTCAGAGATTTTGAGAGCGAGAAAATTTTTTGGAAACAAAATCTTACTTGCTTTCCGCTCCATAAAACCTGAGGTTTTAGCATAGTTGGAGGTGGAATGACCAACCGTTGCGTAGTTTCAGCGAACGCCGAGAGTACCAAGTGCATAAAATCTTCTTTATTAAAAAACCGCCCACGGATAGTTAACAAAACTCCCGACACTACATGATCCTGGATCAGACCCAATAAGGGTGTTCCATCTTTTGGTACCAAAAAATTCGATCCGACGTTAACTAAAAACATGCTTTTGCTTACTGACGGCTCTATGATTCAAACATTTCCATATTAGTTTTTTGATGTGACATTTCAGATCATCATATATTGACTTGACTTTTGGTTTCTTCGTGGTAAAAACATTAAAAAAAGTTTGCAGATGAAATTAAAAATGATCAGTCATTCCCTGCCATCGTGTGCAAAACACACAATCCTTCATGATGAAAATTGCACAAAGTTATTTCAGAATTAGACTTCAAATCTTAAAAAAAGAACTTACCAATTTCTGCAAGCTCGGTCTGCGCAATTCGATTTTGCACAAAATGTCCATTCATTTCATCACCATCAAAGTCAGCATTGTATGCTTTACAGGGTGCATAATTCATGCGTAATGCTTGCTGACTTTTAAGCACTCGAGCTCTGTGACCCATCATTGACGGTTTATGCAGGGATGGTTGCCGATTCATTAACATTAAATCACCTTTATCCAGATGTCGTAAAACCTAAATTTCATCACTTCTAACTCTAAGTAAACTAATGTCATTGCTCCGTAAATTTAAGAATTTTTGACTGTCGTCTGCAAATCTAGACCCTAACCGAAAGGATTATTAGTTACAAGACTGCTTATTACGATATGGTGCATGTTTCCTAAGAAATCCATGATTTTACAAAAATACCTGAAGAGGATAACCAAGTTGTGAGCTGCTACCAGGTTGAAGGCGCTTTGCAGCCGCATTGCGCTCATTTGCTTTATTTATTGAGAGAACTTGTGTATATCGTCCTGGTTTTTGAATAAAGTTGGCACTGAAAGTCAAAATTTAAAAGGTTACAGAAATAAGTTCGCGAGATTGCATTTTAAAAAAATGAATAATTTTTCATCAATTTTAAACAAAAGTAATTCATACCCAGGATGGAAATCTGGACCATTTTTGATCATTTTTCGTAATCTAGCCAAATTCATGGCATTTACAGTTTCAGTAACAGTAAGTTTTTTCGCAAAAGGCTCAGGTATACCAATTTCATCGATATCTAGATAGGGATCTGGGGTAATCACAGAACGACATGCAAAATTAACACGTTTGCCCATCATGTTCATACGGAATAAACCCTGAAACAAGAAACATCCATTAAAATAAAATAGGCAGTTTCCTATATTCGCCGCAGTAAAGAGTCAAACTGTATCATTTGTTTTCAAATTGTATAATATCACTTATAAATTTTGCAAGAAATCCAGCAGACCAAAACGATAAAGAAAAAATCAAACCTGCTTCTTCTCTAAAATTTGTTTGATACCAGGGATCTGAACCCTTACATCTGTCCATTTATCCAGATCTTGATCGAAAATTGCTCCCATTCGTTGCTGCAGTGTCAAATATGCATTGTGCATCTTGGCTTGCATTGTTTGTCCAAGAACGTTTTCTGATACCAAATTCTAAAATTCAGTTGTTTTTCTAAAGAAATGAGAATGAAAGGAAAATAAGTAATAAATCAGTGGATAAGAACATATATGTCCGAAATAGTAGAAAAGATTTACAGAAAAAATTCTTACCAAAAGAGCTTTTTCATTGTTCCCAGACAATGCTAAACGAATAGCTCGAATTGTTTCTGAAGCTTCCAATAATTTCCGAAGGTTAACACTTTGTGGATTTTCAAATTTATCGCCTTTAAAGATTCGAACCGGTCGATACTTTGTAGGCGGCACTAATACTGCTTCACAAAACAGAACATCAAGAGGACAATGCTTGTCGTCCTGTGAACTAATGTATTTTAAAAGTACTAAGAATAATGAAATCCAGCATTTTATGGCAAGGTTTCACTTAATAATTACAAATATATAATGAAGTTATATTACAGTGCAACGTAAAAATCAATTAAGCTTTATAAAAACGATTACTTCACGATATTTGAAGAGATGTTTTTTCAGAGAGAGTATTAAATGCTGTAAGGAGAAGTACGAATGAATATAAATCTTAAAAAAATTAAAAACCGAACTCACAAATTAAAAGAAAGAAAGGAAAAATCACTTTAGAATCGAATACAGGGAATAGTTTCCTCAGCAGAGGTCCATCGTTTTGCCAAAGTATACGAAAATGTTCGCGCACTTCAGCACCTCTCCAAGCTAACTTATTGCAATTTCCCTTTAATACCCATTGCATTTGCTCTCGCAAAATTTGCTCTGATGAATTCGCTAATAATCCATAAGCAGTCCCGTTACTGCTGAACTTTTTTTCATCTTCCTCTGTTTTCATATCCTGATCTGAAGCAAATTTTTCAACTCCAAATTAATGTACATACAGGAATTTTACATCTTTCCTTTTGCACCTTAACACCTTTTACTGTTCATTAGTAATAGCAGTAATTATTTTTATGAGATGGTTTTGGGAACGCACATGACAATGTTGAATTTGAAACTTACGCACCAGCATCAACTTCTTGACCATCGATATTTCCAATGTTTTCAATAGATGCAAAACGCGACGTCTGCTTATGCCTTTTTATGCTACTCGTACCACCAAAATCAATCAGAATGCAACGACCACCATCATTACGAATGATTCCATTACTTCGATTACACAATTTACAGCGTCTTCGGCGTTTAAACTGCAATAAAACAATTGTCTCCTTCCGACTGATATGTAATCGATTAATATTTGATCAAATTTGTATTACCAAAACATTATCGATTTTTATTTGATTAAGATTATTATTCCGACCTATAAACCTTCTTTATAAAGTGTTATGCCATTGTCCTCAAATACATTTTTTTAAAGAGTACAGCAACCTTAAAAAAAAAATTTTTAGCATCCTCAGTAAAAAAGTAAGGAAGGAGGTAGTACAGTATCATGTATAACTATTACGAGAGCAGGTAACATGAAAATTTAAAACATATAAAAGGTCATTAAGATAAAAAAGTCATAACTTACAAGCTGTTCTTTACAAAAATTCCGAATCAACGATCTTCGCAACTCCAGAGCATTTTTGACAGGAATAGACTGGTTCCTGTCAATGTTTGCACCTATTTGCTCGTTGAATTTATCAAGAAAGTTGTCCAGTTCTTTGCATGCACTGATTTCATCTGAGAGGGTTGGTGCATTTCCTAGATAAATAGTAAATTCCGTCGAAAAAATGAAAGGACATGACCAAAAGTACACAGCCTTCGGCAACAGAAAGATTATGCTCGTTTGACTTGACTCATTGTATTCATAATGTCTAGTATTGCAAATTATAGAATTATATTAAAGTGAACCAAAAAAAATTCCAGTGTTTGAACCGGACCACCCCAAAACATCCATTTCAAAGAGTGATTTTAAAAGGTCTAGTGCGAATCTGTGTTTCTCTTTAATTAATTTCAGAAACCGGATATTATTTCAGATTTTGCACTTTACAGCAACCTTTTTTAAGAGTACTAATTCTTCCAGGAGCGTTTACTAAACTTGCCAAAACCGATAGAATGCCGGCTCAAAAAACAAAGAATAATTCTTGTTAATTTGTCCTACAATTCAGCTCCGCTCTTTGGTGAATCCCTCTAATTTTATGATTTCAAAAAATGAAAAATTATGAAGTGAACGAACCGTGCAAAGTTCCAGGCTCACTTTCAGCAGAAAAATGATCTTTCACAAAACCACCAAGTTCTTGCGCGATTGAAACAAGACCAAGGTCCAGTGCTCGAAGCTGTGCTAGAAGCAGTTTCGCTGGCAAACCAGATGAGTTGCACGTTAATCTGTGGCACTGTACACATGTTCCATTCATTAACTAAAACAGTTTGCTGGTAGATTGACAAAAAGGCAATTAATTCAATAGTTAATACTCTGAATCTCAAAAATTTCCGGGATATTTCAAGTACATTATATCAAAATTACTAAGATGTTAAGACGTTGTCGTACTCAGCAATTTATGCTTCCACATTCAAAATGACCGTATGCATCTTTTCTATATGACTGAGCAAGAAATTCCTGGAAACAACTTATGCTTCACTATCCAATTACTTCATTCAATCACTTGCTGATTAAGTATCGGTGATCAGTAGACCTGAATTAATCAACCAATCTTCTAGAAATGACTGAAATTTAGCTTACGGAAAAAGTGAAACCGAATAAAAGTGGGCTGAATACTGGAACGTCGAGCTGGATATGACCCATATGTCCTGGACAATAAGTTCCTTGCTGATGACATGTTTCACAGGTATCAAATGTCTCTAACGGACCCAATCGCGAATCATACAAACCACCACTTACTGGGTGTCCAATCTGAGATGTGAAAGCTAAACTAAATCCACACCATATAAATTAGTAACCCACTCCAAAATTTAAAGAAATTTAGGCAATGTAGGTATTCCCATCATCACGGTCCTGTCTTACATATTTTAAAGAAATTAGTAAACAAATCAATTGACCAATTGGTATTACTGTAAGCACATTAAAAACATTCCTATAAGCTACCTGCTATAAGCTACAGCATTAGCAATAACCTTTATTTATTATAACTCGACATGTAGAGAAAAAATGGTCGTAAAATGTTTTCATGTCAAATAAATGCAATGTTTTATCCCGAAATCACTTAAATATCACCACTTGTCCACAACGTTATATGTCCATGATTCTTTTATAGTAGTGTATTGAAGTGCACTTATATTTCCAGTCAATTCACAAAGCAGTACAATATGATTGGTCGCGCTGTTCAATATACTACTATAAATGTGTCAACAATATAGTCTACTTTGGTCATGGAAGATTTTCGATTCACCTTGATTTTGAACCCACCACACACCTCTAACTGCGTTACGCTTGAGCAAAATTACATTCTCCGTAATGTTGGAAAGACAAACTTCATCGAATGTTTTTGTTTCGGTAATCCTGAGAACACTGATCCGCTCGATTTCGTGTGGTAGATAGCACCGTAATTGTAGTCGGTCAAGTATCTTATAAGGTTCATGTCCCGGACTACATATATCCGCCATTGATCCTTTAAAGAAATGGGACGCTTGAAAATCAAAATTAGTGAAGACAAAGAGATTATAACATGCCCACAAAGAGTAAAGTAACTCACTTTAAACAACCATCTAGACATGCATATACTTATAAACTATTATAAGGTTACTTATATGAAGGCGAAATTACTTTAGTTTTTGTAACGAATAAATACTGGATTAGCAAAATCAATCAGCCATAGTGCGTTATGATTGTTCGTCCTATACAATGGCGATAAATTATAATATGGAAATACAGTAAGACTTGTATTATATTAGCTCGGATTGCTGTAGTGTCAACTAGAAGAACTGCCCTTACAGTTATTTAGCGTTCTCTGACAGAGTTCTTCCTTTTTGCATGAGGCTTTCGACTCCTACTCTCTCCATGAGTTACTTCTCCACTCCATAACTGCCTAATTATAATATTCATTCTAAAATAATGGTAGAACACCGTCGGATGACTTCACACACCTAAATTCATATCGTGAGGACGGTCTATTGCACTATCTATATTACTAGGATACTGCGATGGTAGCGTATCATGAACTCATAATTTTGCAAACCATATTTGAATAATGCGGCTTGATGTTGGTTTGCTAAAATCATTGCTGTTTCATTAGGCAGCCAGAATGGTAGCGCATCAATTGATGCATAACTTCAGCAAATCACGCCTGAACATGTTTGAGCAGGTTGCGACCGTCTGGGAGGGTTGTTAGGGGAGCGGTTCTTTGCTTTGTTGTTGTACACTTACTGTTCCGTTTTCAATTCACTGAGTTATACCACGCGATCTTATGACAGGAGTAGATTAAAAGTGGAGAAGAGCTTACTGTTTGAAATATTAACACAGAGGTGGTAGAGTTGCATCTGCAAGTGATCATTTCTGCAGAAATGTTTACCAGAAATAATGACATGGTGTGACAAGATCAGTTCATAAAAGAATAATGTGCCAATTGTTATCACCACAGTAATGGTAATGCGAGTAAAATCACGAAAAATAACTCAGAGGAATGCGTGCATTCTGGCATTAGAAATTTCGGATTAAGGATCTAGCATTGATTGAGCTTATTTGAGTCCTGGTGTCTTTTATGAAAAGGTATTAAAGTTTGAATGGTTGTGGAAATTTTCCCACTAGTTTCGATCCTTAGTTAAGGAAGATGGGTCGGATAACATCGGTATATGAATTACTGGAAGCTCTCTGAAGCAATATCCGTACGAATAGAATTATAATAGCTTTTTGGAAATTTAGCAATAATATCCATCATTTCTAAGACCATTTGTCGGAAATTAGCCGGTGGCAGTAACGCATACGGACTAGCCGATGCTGCAACAATAAATTCGCGAGAATATATGATACGAACATCCAGATTGCCATCCTCACGACGTCGAGTGACAATTTTGCTACCACCAGTGAGATCCGCGTTCAAAACACTGACCTGCAAATAAAGTGAAGCTGTTGAGGGTCTATCAGACTCACTTTCCTGTCAAAAGGTTGCAGAGAATCCTTCATGTGAATAAATGGTTTGAGCAGGCAGTAGTCTCTGTCCGATAGTGTCGTAACCTAATAGCAGATTTACTTGCCGTTTATGTTCGTACTGATTCATATGGAAACGTACAATTTTCTCGGCGGATTGTGGAATGTTGTTGGTAAGCACTAAAGATTGGTCATTACATTGAGATGGTACCCTAATTGGGCTCAGTTTACGAATACGAAATGGACGTCGATGACGAAAATGTTCTCCATCGCCAAGGGCAGATGAAAGCACATACTGCAATGAATTAATACTGCAATGAATTTTTCTCAAGCCAGCAAAATTTGAAAAGAGAGACATTTGGAGTATCGAGTTTTGGAGCAGTTTCTGAAATTTATACAAATTATGAAATAAAGCGAACATTGTTGGATGTAGTAGAAAGTTGCTGCGTTAGTGGTGAAATCACAGATCCTTGGCTTAGTAGCCAGTTTATCCCAGGCATTGTCGATGCCGTATTCATTTTTTTTTTGAAATAACTGAAGAAAACAGTAAATCACAATTCTAATATAAAATATTTAGATTTTGGGACTCACTCTCAAATCCTTCACAAAGTTATGGAGGATCCAAATAATGCGATTTACTATTGAAATTAAGCATTAACAACATTTGCAAAACCAATAACTCCAGCGCTCAGCCCTATTGCATTTATATAAAATAATTTTAGTCACAACCGATATTCAGTTAAACAGATATTGCGAAAACGTCAACTTATCAACAGGACATTATTTAGCACTGCTGTCATATTCATTTATGACGTCCTGATAAACATTTAAATTCAGATGTCATAAATATTCAGATGTAAATGAATAGGGTTTCGAACATTAAGAAATTTCATAGCTTTGTAAAAAGCAGAATGTCTTTTTTTTTCTTTTTTTTGTGGATTCTAGAAGTGCAAACGATTAAGCAAAAGCAGCGAAACGGTTACAAAATCCTAACTCCCAAATTAACTTAACTCGTTTGCTAAGTATTTGGTTTAATATCGGTTTAGGATTCGTCACTGAAACTTTAGACATAATTATTTTAATTACTCCAGAATTTTGTTTAAGAAACCATAAATTCAATTTATAAAAAATCTGGAAAATCCGCTTCAGCTATGACATTTGATTTCAACCTATCAGTACTTCTGCGATATCAATAAATTGGAGCTAAACTCTTTGATTTTAGTTGAAATAGCCTTCTCAACTCTCTGGCATTCATCACAATAAAAAACTCACAGAGTACAGTGATAGGAGCGAAAAGCACATTTGGTTGGTAAAATCCGATGCAGCTTGGATGTATATCCGAGTATCGACTTCGAGAAAAACAGAGTCAACTTTGCCAAACACTTGGAAACAAAAAAATAAATATGAAAACAGAATGCAGTTCGTTAAGCAGAGCGTTTGTGGTAGCGATTTATGCAGATATAGTGAATCTTCGAGAAATTACTATAAATGCGGAGTACGGTATTTTAAAAAGTCATACTGCTCATTACATGCTAACCTTTGGACGCTAATACAGAAACAGTCAAGGTTAAGGAAATTAAAGTTTCAGTTTAACTGAACAATTAAATTTTATATGCAAGTTGAACATTTGCAGTGATTAAATGTATTGAAAGCACGAAATCATCATCTAAAATATGATGTGTCGAATTCAGAAGCTTTCTCATCTTCTTTATACATGACACTTCTATGGCACAATTCTGCTATTTTCTCATTATTGTCCTATTTGTATTCAACTTAGACAACTTAACTACAATATAAAGGCCTGATGTAAAGCGCATCGGTCACTTTTATCATAAGCTCGTGTAGAATTTATTTATTCTCTTCTGTTCTATTGATGTCGCCTATTCTAGTGATTTGCTTTTTCCTAGTAGTTTTGGTTTATAATTTTATCTTGGCATATTTTTCTTCCGATATTTTTGGCAGGAAAAGAGATAACCCGGATGTATGACAAAGCATTCATGCGCAAGCTTATCTGTCACTTTATTAGAATGAATAAAATACATATGGAAGTTTCGGTTGAGAAAGATTTAAATATCTAATTAATTGGTTTGCCATAGTCCTGGCTTTGAACCAATTGAAAGTATACAGTTGCAAGCATTCGTCATTGATATCATGCTTCATGGCAGTGATAATGATTAGAAAACTGTTATTAATCTATCACAAAACAGGACCGATTGTTATATCATTTATAGGATTTTTACAGAAGGCATTCTTTGAATAATTCAATTTAAATTTGGCATCCGTATCATGCCCAAAAGGAGATCTTCAAATCTCTTCGATAAGTAGCCCTGATTTCATTTTTCATTGCCTGTGTGAGACGTAAAATCAATAAAATCAATCTTGCTCGAGCAATCATCACACTTATTAATGGGCGTTATCAGTCATGCATTAGAGAAATTGCTTTTCGAAATTGCTCCTTTATCATAATCTGGCTAAAAATTTTGGAGTAATTGATTCTTGTCGTATTGATTCTATTATCGATTAGTAAGAATATCACTTGAACTTTTAGCTTTCGACCATTTTATTTTGCTTCTTTCCAACTTCTTGAACTTTTTAAAACTTGTGAATTCATTTTTGTATTCAATTAACAAACTTTAAGATATTTTAAAAAAATCTTTAATCTGTAAAATGTGGAAATGAATTAGATTAAGGTAAGATAACAGTGAATTCGAAATACAAGGAGTAATGAGAGGGATGGAAATTTTATTAAGGATAGAAAGCATAATGTGATGTTATTCAGATTATTTTGTATAACTAAAATATTTCCATTTTAATTCACAATTCAGAAATTTGAGAAGTATTTTTTCAGAGAAAGGAATTCTTCCTTTGCACAAAAACAGCAAAAAGAAAATGGAAAAAGCCAAGTTCGGAAAATTGTTGTGTTATGTCAAATAACGCAAGCTAGCTCCTGTTTCATTTCAGTAGAAGGGGAAGAGTATAATTTGAAAGTGTGACACGAGTTGGTGACATGTAATTGTGATGGTTATAACAATTGATATCAAGAATATTGTTAACATGAATTTGCACCATAGATGGCTGCATCGTAGTGCAAAAATCATAGGTTATTCTTATGTGCATGCATATCAGATCGTTGCAAAATTCTGAATTAGAAGGTAATAAATATGTCATAAGGATTACTGATTTGCTATGAATTCAAACTGTAGAAGATTATTTAATATCTGATAGAAACGTTCGGTACCTTTCGGAAGTTGAGGAGTTCATCTTGATCATTACTACAAGAGTACAAGAGGTTAGTCCAAATGAAATCACTGATGATGCTAGTGGTCAGGATAGCCAGTAGCGAGAAAAAAAGTAATAATTACTGCTATTTCTAATGGACAGCAAAAGATGTGAGGCAGAAGCTATATTTTCAAAAGGTATTTTCGAAGGTGTAGCAAAAGGTGTGTTGTCGAATACCAGTAATCTTTCTGCATATGAAAGGAATTCGTCTTGACCATTAGTACAAGAACACTTTGAATTACACCAAAATTAAGTTTTTATTTCCCAATAATTGGAAGTATCCGACCAAATTCGTTGTGTTTTAATGAATAATAAAGTATTTCTAATGTATGGCAGCAATTCTTACTTATATTTAAATGATATATTTTGAGATAAAATATGATATGTGATATGGTGTGACAAATCAATCAGAATGCTGATTTTATTTATACTGAAAGAAGCATAAGATTATATTGAATTTAAATGATAGTTTGTCCAGGTATTTCAGTTTAGAGTTTGGGACGTTTTAACGAATGACAGCGTTTCAAAAATAGTGCATAGCTGATAAGTTTGGTCAATACAACTAATGATTGTTGTAGAGATAACCTACCTTACCACTTTAAAGGCGCGTACAAATTTCTGTATGGAAGTTCACAATTTAACAATCAAATCATCATTTCAATACACGGTAGACATATGAGTAATTATAAACTTACTTGCAGACTACTGAATTTTCTGAAAAGTTCATGCACAGTTTCTATCGACGCCATCGCTAATTTGATATCATTTTGATGGGCAATATCAATTGGAAGTTGTATAGAACTTACTTGTAAAACTTTTAATGTCAACCTTTAACGTTTTATATATAACTAATTTATTTAGTTACAGGCCAGTTGGTGAGAGTTTAGATTATGAGAGTGCAAAATTTCATTCAAACTCAAGGTCAAGCTATCAAGGAATAGTCGTCCCCTTTAAGAATTCAGAAAAACTTTTGTAATACCAGACATTCCAGAACAACCAACCGCACGATCAGTTTCTAAAGCAGTAATCTGAAACTTACTTACTATCACATCATATATAAGTAGCTGAAATATAACTTGTAATGCAACGATATAATCCAGATATTTACTGATAAATAGTAGTAGTAGTATATACAAGCATTATGTGAAAAAATCTCGAAAATTAGAATTTTGCTTGATATATAAATCATTCTAACAAAGAAATGTAACATTGCTTTGTTAATCGATCTTTTGCTAGGATCAACAAGGTTGAATATTTTTTTTCAAAATTGTTTTTGTCAATCAAAGTCGTGCATTTCATTGGAGATCTTTATTGAGGAATATTTTCTGCTACTTAAAGATTGTACAATGCTTGAGATCTTAAAAATCAATCAATACTTCAACATCTAATATCAGTCCATCAAATCACCATCGAAATTTTATATAACTTAATGTGCATTTCAGTGAATTTCCACTGATCCTTTAAATTGGTTTAATGATTAAATTTCTTTATTAAAGAGAATCTATCTAAGATTGCAATTGTTTTTTAGTCCATTCTTCTACACCACAAGCTTTCAAATTTCGTTATTGACTGATTGATTTGGTATGTTTTTTTTGCTGATGCCAATAACTGGCGCGAAATCTGCAGACTTGCCAAATTTAAATTTCAGAACTTAATAACAATGACCCGTAAAAATATTAACTCACAGAAAATAGCGAATGAAATGTACCGTGGCCGTGTTATATGCAAAACCTTTGTAATTATCAAAAAAGAAAAAAAGGAAAAGACATATGGTTTTCCCGGGAAACCTCAGAAATGCATCATTTTCTGAGTACCTTCATCATTTTTCCAGACTTTCTACTTCCGACTTCTTTGAATAAAAGGAAGATTTCGTCACTTAAAAAACAGAAAATGTAAATCCATCTGTAATCAAGAGAAGAGCACCACATATATGTTTAAAATTCAGATATAATTTTTTTGGAAGGTGTTATTTACTGTTATTCCAAATGCCTTCAAGATTAGAACTACCTATCTATTTTTATCTATCTTTAGTCTTCTAAATTATCTGATAAAACAATAAGTTTTGGTGAAATGAATCAATTCACTGGAGATGGAAAGTAGGATAACTCAGGAGCTATCATTTCATATTTGTTCTATTGCATCACTCCTTTTTCCTTCATCTTAAATTTGCGATCAATAAAGACAGAAGCATCGACATTCAGTATTAAATGAAGAATCCTAGGAATCTAGGAACATAGATATATATTCATCTGACATTGATATATATATATCACTTTTATTTACTCTGTTAAACAATAGCGTGTTTATGTCCTAAACCTTTTCAGAATCCCATGACATCTGAAACAGAAAGCACTGAAATCGAATCGATAGATGTATCACTGTCGATAGATACAGCCAGCAAAGATAGGAAGGCTTGTTGATTTTACGTCTTCTACCCATATTTGTTTCGTTTTTGAGAACTGCATTGAATAATACTGCATTTAACTACCAGTGATAACTGATCTGCCTTTGATGATAACTGATTTATTCAATCTACGGTTTCAATATACATGGTTATCAAATTTCAGCATCAGCCAACCAAGACCACTGGCTCCACCACAAAAACGTCGAATTTGGGGGTGTGTGAAGCTTTTTTCAAAGAAAATTAAGTACTAATGGTATCTTATGAACAGATGATATAAACCCATGATATCTTCTATTCCTGATGATAAGCTATCAGTAATTTGAAATGATTTCAAGCTTGCCTTATTAAGCTATTAAATGTTGGATACGTAGAAGATTCTATTTCAACCTTCTGTTTGCATGCTAAGCATATTCAAACATTTGGATGTTTCCTATATTATCACTTAGTTGATATTATTATTTAGTTGTCAGTATATCTTTTAAATAATTTGATAAGACAAATTGAGTGACTATGATTAATATTGAACTGAGAAGTTTCTTCTTTTGAATTGTATATTGAATAATTGCATATGTCTTTGGTTATGTGTTAAAAAGCTAACGTCAAGTCTTTTTGTAAGACTGAAATGAAGTAAAGATAGAAAGATTTCTGAACTTTTTTGTAAAATTTCAAGGTCGAATCTGAGGCGAACTCAAACGAGCAGGAGAGAGGAATTAACTGGTTTATAGCATCGATGTTCATTCTAGGTGATCTGGTTGGCGGTGGTGTTGTTGCAATGCCTGTCGCATTCGCTCAGACAGGTAATGTCAGTTTTTATTTCAGCTGAACCAAAAGTCTCTCGATCTTCGTTCCTGGTCTGAGATATATTTTGATATATTTTGAGAAACCAAAAATTTTTCAAATCATTCATTTTTTTTGTCTTTTTGTTTTTGTCTCTTTGAACAGATTTATTCCCAGTCCTGATGATAATTAAAGAAGACGAACATGTCCTTTTAAAAATATTTGTTAGTAAGTATTACCAGAATTCACCTAAATGTTCAAAAGTATATAGCAATGAAAAATTCCAAGATATCCCGGGGATCTTACATTGCTCAAAGATTTGCTATCATCTGATGGATCTTTAGACAGTGTCTTTTTAAGTTTCGATTACTGCAGGGTTTGTGGTAGGCATGCTGTTCATGGTAATCATTTGTGCAATTTTTGTAACAACAGGCTGGTTACTTGCTGATACCTGGGAAATTATGCGTGAACGATGGCCAGAATATCGTAAACATTGTCGGAAACCTTTTTCAGAGATGGCTCTGCGAAGCATGAGCAAGACGTCAGAGTTCGTTTTAGTATTTCGTTTTGACTGGCTTTTTATGTAATTTTCAAAATTTATTGATTTCATGTTTGACTGTTCGAAGTTTTCAAAAAACACTTTCAGTTTTTTGCTTTCTCTTCAAATCTCTTCACACATTTCTCCATTCAGAATTGTCACCAAAGTGACTGTCTACTCAACTCTGTTCGGTGCCACCGTCGTTTACATACTTCTTTCCTCTAAGATAATTCAGAAATTTATGGCTAATTTCGATCTGAATTTTAATTTCTGCTTGCTTCTCATCATCGTTTCTATGTCTATATTACCCATAACATTTCTTAAATCACCTGCTGATTTCTGGTAAGTTCTTTCTCAATTTGTTTTTATATCTACCCATCGTACATGCCAGATCGTCCTTTATTGTGCTGATTTTTTTTTTTTGATCTGCTTGAGCAAAATAGGTTTCGTGCAAAATTTTAACCAGGAAATGATGGTCTTTGAATTTAATTTTAATTTTGCGATCCACACCTCAGTTCTAGTTTTGAATCTATATCAACAATTGTTCAATGACTGATTCATTTTCAGGTGGGCAATCCTTATTGCTGTTCTTTGTACCGTTATAACCATTGTTATGATATTCGTTGGTATTAGTTTAGATTTTCATGATTGCTACCATGAGGCTTACTATTCGGATATTTCAATTGATGCCATTCTCAGCTTGGGCATTTTTCTGTTTGCCTTCAACGGACACCAAGTTTTTCCAACTGTGCAAAACGATATGCGCAATCCGCCAGATTTCAAAAAATCAGTTTTAGTCGGATTCGTCTGTTAGCTTCACTTAATAATTCCTTTTTTAGATTGTCTCATAGGAAGTTTTTCTTGCTCAAACAAATTTTGGATGATTTAGAAGATGAATAATTATATTATTGTGTAATCATGTGGCTGCTTTGAAAGTTAGTAAAAAGTACTGCAGAGATTGATAATCATAATTGCAATGTTTGCTTTTTTCGATGTTTTCATCGTCACGATTTCAGGTATGTGCTTTCATTAGTGTCATTCGATTAAAATATAAATTTGTTGAGTTTTAGTTGTGGGATTACTTTATATGCCTTTATCCGCTTATGCATTTCTCGTATACGGTAACAGTATGTCAAACTCGGTAATAGATTCAGTGCAAACAACTTGGATTCGTTACGTTGCTGATTTATCTATAGCGGTACATTGCATTCTTGCAATTATTATCACTGTGAATCCAGTCAACTTGCAATTGGAAGACACTTTCAATGTGCCACATAGTGGGTTACTTTTCCTAAATAATTGAACTCCCACTCAAAATATCATGAGGTGCCTTCATATGCACTCCTGGCACCATCCCTGATGGAAAACTGTTCTCCAATATTTCATAACTTCCTCATTTGGCCAACCTTGTATTACGAGGGTGCTTAAATAAGGCATGACTTTCAAGAATACCGATATTTTTTTTCTCTTGATTTAAATTTGATTTATTACAGAATTCTGTTTCAAGCGAGTGGTGGTCCGCACAGGCCTACTACTGGCAGCATTATTTGTTGGTCTATCACTCCCGAACTTTGGTTCTGTAATGAATTTATTCGGAAGTACCACAGTACCTTGTACATGTGTCATTTTACCGACCCTATTTAGTATTTATATTAAAGCTGCTACCTATGACAAAAATAAGGATATGTGGATTAAGCCGACATTTCGGGAGTAAGTGATGCATGTCTTTTGGCATGTCGCTGAGGTGAGACGTGAACTTATTTGTGTCAGATCATAAACGGCCTAAATGATATTAACTTATTCATCAATCATTGCAGTAACAATATCTGTAAAAAAAAGATAGTAACTTACAGTGCCAATCGCTTGGAAAATTTCAGGGTGCTGCAAAAAACACCGAAAGCTCAACTTTCAGCTTTAATACTCATAAATGGTATGTTTAAGTAGGATAAAGTGTTAGATTTTGTTCAAAAAAAAAACGCTTACCTATTCGTTTACATGAAAGTACCGGGTAATATCGGGAAACATCGAACACATCTCAATTGCATAGAATCACTCTTGGTTTTAGCAGAGACTGCAAGAAATGAAAATGTCAATTTATTGAAAAAGGAATCTTTATCATTCCAGTTTAATTTCATTCAAATTAAATGTCTAATTAGTTGAATGTAACAAAATTTGCAGTTATAACTGTGATTTGTTCCATGATCGCTACTGCATTGTCTGTTAAAGAAATATTAGGAGTGCGGTTCACTCCACCATGTTATGCTTTGCCGTTTCTTACCCATAAGAATAGAGCACAGCTGGATGCCGATGTGCTCAATTGCTGTGGAATGTTTAGGAACATTTCGAAATTCAACTTTCAATGTGGTGCTCCATCTTGATCATATGCTCTTATTTTCACGCTTTTTAATTTAAATCTTACTTTTGATAAGCTCTCATCCATTTACTGTAACTGTTCGCAAATAAACTTACACTTATAAAGTAATCAGTGATAAATATGTTTGCACTCTCAACTGCAAACACAATTAATTGTCCATATGCTCATAGATTTATCACTGGTGTTATTGAGCGGTAAATTCTTGCTGGAAATATACCTGTCGAATATTAGCTAACATCAGTTAATTCCTTTTCAATTTCTACTTTTAAACTCAAGCAGTTTTCAGATGCTTCAATTTAAAAACAGAAATTGTTATTTTTAAGAAAGACGAATTTTACTTCATCTTTCTTTGCTTTGCATCGAATAAATGTTTCATTTGCATTATTCCTGTCAGAGAAATGGATGGATCGGATTCTAGACAATTTATAAAGTGTCATACTACTGATGATAAAATCTAGTAGTGGACTGGTGTTTAATTACAGAATAGACCCTTATACTTCAACCAAAGCGCTTTTCCCACAACTTAATCAGAATTTTTTCCGCATTATTCGGGATTTAGTAATCGTTTCAAGCTTTTAAATCTTTGTTCTTTCTTTGATTTAACAAAAAGTTGTTTATCCCTTCTACTACAATGATATGACTTCATCACTTTACCGGAGTTTAAAAAATACTTTCCTCCAAATCTACAATTGCGCCACAAAGGACCCAGGAAAGATCGTTAGAAACCAAATAAGGAAAGAAAAATATGGGAAATGGTTGCAACATACTTTATATACTTCACAAATCACTGCCATATTCGTGAACTCAGTGGAATATTTATCATTTCATTGAAAGTCAAATAGGATGGTCGTATCTCACTTAGTTTTGTATTATGAAATGAACACCTACAACTACAACTGAGCTATTTCCATTGCATATTACACATAGAGAAAGTATGATGTTTTGTTATGGACAGTGTCATCCGTTTCATCATCGATAATCCGCAATTATTTGTATCAGAATCGGAAAACAACCAAAATAGAATTAACGATCAAAAGGATTTGTACGAAAGTAAAATTTCATTGTTTCGAAGATAAAACTGAATGTGATAGAGCTTTGAGATCTCTTGAAATTAGTAAATTAATGTATAGCTATATGCTTAATATAAATTATTGCAACCATTCAGGATCGATGACACACAAAGGTGAAAAAAATGATCCAAAAAAAACAACATTGTTTAGGAAAAAAGTGTTTCCGAATGAAAACCGGTTGTTTGGAAATTATCAAAACAATCAAAGCGAAGTTCTTTACTAATTGATCATAAGGAAGGCTACGAAAAACTCGTCTTGTCACATTATTTGTTAAAAATGTATAATGAAAAATCTCAGTAGTTTCATAAAATCATTTGTCAAAAGTATCAGACCTCAATAATAGCACATCTATGATTGAGGAGTATCCTAATTGATGTCCCTTATTTAATACCGATGACAGACTAAATATATTTTGCGCTGATCTTGAAAATTGCAATTTTTTCAATATCGTTGTAGTCATTTTTTCAAGGACAAAGCAAGAGACAATATATTCAGTTAATCAAACAAATGAAAATGGACATTTTTGTTATCATATAAATGTTCTTATAAACTTGAAATCTCATTTAAATGCATTATTTCAACATAAGTCTGTACAAATTATTGATTCTTTTCGGATCTAAGTCACTTTCAATTATTGATTACAATCAGCTAATGTCGTAAATAGGTCAATATAAGTAAAAGTAAACTAGGTAAACTACTGCACCTTGTCATGCAACAAAATTTTGAACAGATAAACACATTTATCTTCAATTTTCATTTTCTGCCATGTTCATTACTTGAGTTATGGTTAGAGTGTTCATTAAGGAGAAAATATGAAAGATGATCTTGACTGAAACTGTTTCATGTTATTACTCTTAATGAACTTATAAGGGAGTATAGATTATCGATCGTTTTTCTATTATGAGTATCCCTAAACTTTTTTACACTTTTTCTACCGTCAGTTTGTAATCTATCCTTGTCAAGTATTTTTAAGAGTAATTGAATGGAATAGTAATGCGATTCAAGCATAAGATATCATAAAAAAGCACTGAGGGTTAAAGTTAGCTCAAAGTGATATTCATTTCCTCTCTGTTGATTTTCATCATTTTTCTACAATTACAGGACAGGATTGTTATTTGACTTCTTGAATACATTTCTTTATTGTTAAATTTGCTTATTTTGTTATCTGATATATTATTAAGTCTCTAAAGGATACTGTAATGAACATTTCTTCAATTGAAAAAGAAATCAAAAAAGGCTCAAAATAAATGAAAACCAGATTTGAGCGTGAAGAAAGTTATAATAGTTATAGAAAATCACAGGTAATATTGGTGAAATTCATTTGGCATTTTTGATACATACACGGAATAAAATAGCAAAAATGAAGTTTATTTTTCAAGAGATATGTAAATCAAACCTTTCTCTCATTTTTGTATTTTAACTTGTGTAATATACTTCTTACAAAATTAATAATATTCTAACTGTGAAATTTATTTCTTCGCTCGCAATTTCAGTCCTAAACATCGGGAAAAATGGAAAATAACCGAAGGAATATAAAAAATTTTTGTAGTGCAAGCACATCTGTATTAGAATAAAATCAAAGTATTTCATGGGTTGCCAGATAGTTTTCTTTATCACTTTATCTCATCACCAGATAGTTTTCTTTATCACTTTATCTCATCACCAGATAGTTCTCGTTATCACTCTATCTCATTACCACTCATGATAAATGGTGGTTCTAATAACAAAAATAATGTTTTTACTACATGTCATCAGTCAGGCATTTACAAAAACTAATTGATATTCCATTTCCAATGTATTATTGATTTCCAATCAATTGTTGGAATATCAGTTATTGTGTCTTTGAAATTTGTATTATACAATCCATTTTGTATTATACAATCCATTTTATTGAATTACGATTTCTGTCCTGTTGATGAATTCCAATCTTTGATTTCTGATAACGTCATGGAGTGGATATCTAATATTTTCTACAATCATTTTAAATTTACTTTTTATTTCCAAACCTTTGTTGCTATCCTTTTTGTTTGCATATCAATAATGTCGAGAAAACGTCGACCTTTGCTTTTCTCTGAACTGATTAAAAACCAAATACAAATATTATGAAAACAATGGTCAAATTATGCATGCACATTGGTGGCAAACATTGCAAATGATAAACTATAAACTCTATTTTCTTTTTAATTTCACAGATTTTCATTTTTTTCAAAGTGAGATTTCTATATATCACGAAAATTTCTTTCTTCTTCGTTTGCTTAAGCAGTTATTAGCAACAAACAAAATCAGTGGTATAACGCCACAAAATTTCTATTCATTTGGTAATTTTTTTATAATTTGCAAAGTGGATAAAAAAAGTTTATTTTTCTACTTTTTTATTTTTACTCTGTTCATTATTTGGCCACTCCTTACAATGCTGAGAAATCTGCGCAAAATTCTGTTCGACCTTTAGCCAAGCCTCAATTCCTTTTAAATCTTTCTTTCCAGCCAGGCATGTTCTTCCACATATTTTTTGTGACTTTTAATTTAGGTTTTTTATCAAATAAAGAACGATCGATATTATCAGATCTATTCATAAAAGGTATTGCACATTCTCACAATTCTATAGACTCATAACTTCTATCATTATCATTATCATAAACATACAAATTTTGGAACTTGACAAACCGTAAAAAACATACCACGACATGAATCAAATCAACAACCATTTAAGTGATCAATAAAAAATCAATCATCCCTTTGCATGTGACGACATGTGAAGTGCACGGAGTTT